ATTCACTCTTTTTGGTACGTACGCATAGCCCTCGTCGAGGAGATGAACTTTGGGTCTTGGTCCGAGTTGATTCAAGCGACGAAACTCCGAATATTGAAGAAGGAAGAATTGTTTTCTCTCCTCTTTCTCTCCAACGTGTGAACCAGCAGAATACAGAGATATTTCTGTTGAAATATCTAATATTTAACACTATTTATAATTTCCAAGACATGGCCTGAGTCGCGCCACGTGTCCCCCACTTGCTCGGTCCGTTTTCGCCTCGAAACGATTTAATTTCGCACTAGTTTAAGCTCAAAATATTTTATATAAAATTTATTTAAAATATTTTTCAACTTTCAAATTTTTTTTTTTAAATTTCGTTTTTGGGGGTCACCGGACACCCGTCGCCTCAAAAAATGTGAAAAACTCGACTATCTCGAAATTCGACAAAAATTGACAGGGCAGCTAGTTTTCGCAATGCAAATCTAACGGTGAGGTCCGTTTCATCACACAAAGGTCTAGAAAAATACTAATTTTTCAACCCGCGCTATAATGACAAATTACCATTTTACCCTTTTTTCAGAAAAAGTTAAAATTTTTCCCGGGTTTCACAAGATCGCTTGAAGAAAATATTGATCCCACAGTCCTAATACGAAATTTCCACTCTCCCCCCTCCCAATAATTTTTTAAGCAAGACTTTCATTCTTTCTACAATTTTAAAACTTTTATCTCTCTTATAACTCTCTATCTCATACTACACATTAATTAGGTCGTTAATTATGATTCTAATTAGATATTATTTTTAAATTTTTTAAATAAACAAATGGACTTTAAATATAGATTTTTTGCATCAAAACGAGTTGAATAACTATAATATAGGTCATATTTTATATTAAAATAAAAATATTATAATATTCGAATGGTATAATAGACAAATAATATATATGTCACAAACACAAAATCGAAAAAACAAACAAACAAGATAGATGTAAAATCTAAATAAGATAAAAAAATAATAAATAATCTAAAAACATACATATATATACACACACATAAATTGTAAATAAAATTTTATTAAACTTGACAATGATATTAAAACATACAGAAAAAAGTAAAAATTCATACAATAAATAGAAAATCAAACATATAATTAAATTGAGAAGTAATATTAACTTGTATTTCACTAAAAAAATTTATAGCAAAAAATTATTTTTGTGAGTGTATGAGATGAAATAGAGAATGAAATCGTAATTATGACAAAATATAAGGTGAATTTACTTATTAAACAAAGTGTATGTAGCATGATGTGGACTTCATTACTAATAGGGCGGGCATAAAAGGGGTAGTAGACTACGGTACATCCCATAAGCTTTTCGGCATCATACAAAAATTTATCACATTTGTGATAGATTTTACCACATTTGTGGATAGTTTTACCACTGTTGTGATACTAAAAAAAATGGTAAAAATATTTATCACAACAGTAGTAAAAATATTCACAAATGTTGTAAAAACACCCACATGTAGTAAATCAATCACAAAAGTAATAATTTTTTTTGTATTTAAGAAACATAGTAAAAATAGTTATCACAAATGTAGTAAAAATACTCATAATAGTGGTCAAAACACCCATTAAAGTGGTAAATCAACCACAAAAGTGGTAAATATTTTGGTTGTAAAATAACCTGCAAAAATTGTAAAAATATCCTTTGAAGTAGTAAATTTTGGAGATATGGTACCGAATTTTTTTTGGCTGCACCATAGTCAAGTCCATAGAAGGGATGAATTTAGTAATTTGATAATGATAAATTAAATAGAGTGAGAATAAAAATTTGTGGGCGTGGAAATAGTATCACTCAAACTTAAATTCGATTGAATTTTGTAAATATTTAAGTTAAACTCAAATGGAAACTGATTTTAATTTCTCAATAAATTTTTTTATATTTACAGGAATTCAAGTGAAATTTTTGGTTGCTTTCTTCATAAAAGTTACACGAACTCACATTGAAAAAATGGTGCAGAGATAATGTTATGAACTTTAATGTTAGTCAAACTTCTAAAATTTATGAGTTTTTAATTTTTAATTTCACTTCACTTATAAAGAGAAGAGACAATCTAGTAAAATTGACAAAAAATAAATTTTATAATAAATAGGTTTTCTTGACGGATTTAAGTCTAAACAAGTCCATATAGAGGGACCGGTCTCCAAATTCCTCAAAAATAAATAGAAACCCAATAAGTAGTCTTTTGAGTTTTTTGGTGGTGAGTACAATTTTTTAGACTTATTTGAGAAAAAATATATGGATAAGTTGCTTACTCTATTAAGTTCAATTTTAATAAAACATATTGTGTTTAGGTACAAAATTCAATGAAATCAAAATTATTTTACCTAAATACCCTTCCTTAAATATTGCATTATTTGTTGGCAGTTATATATCTAATCAAATATGTAAAGATTTCATTAGATTCTTTCACTATCTCTCCCCTATTTTCTCTCTATCTTTTTCCCCATTATTTTCGTCATCTCTCCCCTATTTTCTCTCTCTATATATAATTGATAATTTATTTTCTTTTCAAATATATAAGAGATTTAATTTATTTTTTCATCTCTCTTCCTNACCTAAATACCCTTCCTTAAATATTGCTTTATTTGTTGACAGTTATATATCTAATCAAATATGTAAAGATTTCATTAGATTCTTTCACTATCTCTCCCCTATTTTCTCTCTATCTCTTTCCCCATTATTTTCGTCATCTCTCCCCTATTTTCTCTCTCTATATATAATTGATAATTTATTTTCTTTTCAAATATATAAGAGATTTAATTTATTTTTTCATCTCTCTTCCTATTTTCTCTATCCCCTATATTTTCTCCAACCATCTCTCTCACCCTATTTCTTTCTCTTCTCTCTCACTCTCTTTATTTAAACATTGTAACAACATAATTATATTAATGAGTTACACCAATCAGTTACAATTGTTTTATAATACACCAAATAATTACATAAATTTATAACACCAACCCAATTTATCATTCAGGTGTTTACATAAGATAAATAGTTGTACTATTTAGTATCGCGACATCGTTACACCAATCATACAAATTTAGTATAATGATAAATTATTTTGTGTAATAATAAATTCAATTTGGTGTATATAATTGATGTAACTTTTTGATTTATGTAAATGACAAATTGAGTTGGTGTTGTAATTTTGTATAATTATTTAGTATAACTATTTAATTTATTAAAACACATGAGTAACTGTTTAGTGTATTACAGGGTAATTGTAATTAATTAGTGTAATTGTGTTTTTGTAACATTGATATAAGAAGAGAGAAAAAATGAGAGAGTAAGGAAATAAGGGTAGAAGGAGTGAGAGAGAGTGAGAGAGAGAGAGAGAGAAAAAAAAAATAGAGGAAGAGAGAGATGAAAAAATTAAATCAAAATCTTTATATATTTAAAAAAAATTATCAATATGAGAGAAAAAGAGAAAGAGAAACATATAGAGAGAAAATAGAGAAGATAAAGTGAAAGAGTAATGGAGAGAGAAGGAGAGTAATGGAGTAATAAATACCCTTTTAGTCTTTTTTTTAAATACACTTAAGGCCAAANTAATGGAGTAATAAATACCCTTTTAGTCTTTTTTTTAAATACACTTAAGGCCAAATATGTTTCCTTAATATAATTTAGTTAAAATAAATCTAATTTTTTGTACCGACTCAAATTTCCCTAGTCTTTTCAGGATCATGGGCCTCATTCGTTGTATAATGAACGATCTTTTCCAACCAACCCAAGATATAGCCCAATAGGTAGCAGTTTCTGGGTCATGATCCTTTTCTTTGTAGAAGGGTTAACCCAACCCAACCCATTCCATTAACATTCTTTTAGACTCAAGTTTGGCCCAATTCTAACTTTGTACCATATGTGACAAACCACGAAAGGCCTTGCGTGGCAGCAGTGGGTACAAGTACATCAATAACACTATGCTATGATTGGGGCGTGTACTTCGCGCGCCTAAAAACAGCACTGGATAGCATTAACTTTTCTTTTTCCTCGCAGATGCCCCATTTTTGCCTTGTGAGTACCCCTCTTCACCCTTTACCTCCTCTTCTCCACTAGCCCCATTCCAGTTACTTCCAAAACATCACCCTCACAAAAACAGCTCTCTCTCTCTCTCTCTCTCTCTCTCTCTCTCTCTCATGTACATGTATACTTGTCTATATATGTATTTGTGTCTGTGTTTGTAATTTAGAAACTCGATTTGATCATCAACGTATTTGTATCTGTATGCGTAATTCAGAAACTTTATATAAAAATTTGATCAAGACCCAGTTGACCTTCTTCACCTTTTTCATTCGTGGACACGATTTTCCGGTGGGTCTTCCCACTTCAAGCCCGACAGAGATTCGTGTGAACAAGTTCAGAGAAGTTAAGACAGCTGGAACTTTCAATTTTAGGTACGTGGTGCTTCTTTGTCTTCTGAATTTCAATTCTATTTTACATCGGATACAAACGTCTGAAAGTTTGTGTTTTTTATTTTTATAATCGACTTTCTGTATTAGGTTGTTGCTACAGACCTTGAAATTTTCTACTTCTGGCTTAATTTTTGTCGGCAAATTTTGGGTTGTTCATAGGGGATACGGAATTAATGTCGGGTGGGTGTTTGGGAAGTTGTTTCTTGCTCTTAAATCCAACTAGTTGGGTTTTGATCCAAAACGTGACAGAAGGGTTTTTTAAATGCTCAGAGGCAGCTTTTACGGAGGGGTGATCATACTGGAAAGTGTTGTAAATATAGAGAAGATTTGAGAATTTTCTCGGGGGACTTGGGAAGAATTTTTTTATTAAGTGTTGTAATTTGTTTTTTTTTAATAAAATATGTCGTGAAGAAAAGACACTTCTGTAGGTGAACGGATCCAGAAATTTAGTCTCGGAGGTAGCTTTTTATTTTCTGAAAAAGTTGTTTAAAAGAGTTTTTCAGACCTTATGCTGAGGTTGCCCCCACTTGCTCTCCCTAGATCCATGACTGTATGTGTAGCATAGGTGTTCTTTGGTTATGGTTCCAAAAACTGGGTCTGGTGCTATAGATTATAGGGAAGGTTTAATTAGAATTTTTTTAAGTCAATTTCAAATCGGACGGGGTGGACCTTGGGACAACGGTGAAGTTAGTCCATAATGACTTGGGGTGTCATGACTGAGAGCAAACAAAATACAGTTCATGCTTGCTGGCGAGACTGCCTATATTTAATCCTCCTTAGACTGTACATGGTGGAGGCTTCATACACTGAGCTTCCCTCTAGTTTCAAGCATGATTCATGGCTAGTAAAAAGATATATGTACTTTGTCATTCGTTGGATGTGTAAAAGAGATCTGTATGGGTATTAAAAGTGAATTGCAGATATGTTGGGGGGAGTTATGTCAATTTAATTTATCATATCAGTGATTAAAGCAGTATAGCCATATAAATTGTGCACAATGTTTTTCTGTGCAGGGAATTAAGGATTTGAAATTGTCATGCTGGATGTTGCTGCCGGTTGGTGGGTTGGGGATGAATTCTTCGATGGATGATATGAACTTAATTCAACATGCACAGAGGCATCACCTGGTGGTTAGGGAGCTAGGAGAAGAAATTGACTTGGAAATTGGGCCTGGGGATGATGACCCCTCCTTTGTGCAGACCCCTCTCATTGGTGTGCCACCACGAGAATCTTCTTCCGCTGAAGAGCACGATGAGAGCAAAGAGATGGTTATGGTTTCTCAACAACCATTTGGAGATCAAGACTTGGCAAAGACACAACAGGTGAAAAGAAAAAAGAAGGTTGTGAAAAGATGGAGAGAGGAATGGGCCGATACATACAAGTGGGCTTATGTAGATGTGAAGGAAGGAACAGCAAGGATATTCTGCTCTGTTTGCAGAGAGTATGGTAGAAAGCATAGGAGGAATCCTTATGGAAATGAAGGCAGTAGGAATATGCAGATGAGTGCACTAGAGGAGCATAACAACAGTTTGCTTCACAAAGAGGCTCTTCGCTTGCAAATGGCTTCCAAAGATAAGATTATTGTTGATAAACCAATATATGTAAAAGGTTAGCTCATGTTTACGATGTTTTATTTGTACTTGAGGTGAAAAATTTTTTCCCACTTTTTTCTTGGTTTATAAACGTTGTTTAGATGAGTACTTCACAGGTTCTTGTCTTTGGGCACTAGATTATGCATTTTTCTTTCATCAAAGTGCTTCAGCCATATAGTTTTATTTACTCAAAGAGAAGAAAGAAAAGGACCGTTACATACTAAACTCTCTGGATTGTATGTGCCTTTATCTAACATCACACTGTTTAGATGGAGTATATATGATATTATAAGTTTGGAAACCGGCAGGATGCATATTTTAAACTCAATTTGACATCTTCCTGCACATGATTATTTAACTTTAACACATATAGTGATAGATGATGGCAGAAAAGGAAAGTCTTTTTACTTAGAATTTCATTCCTTTATTGCTGTCTGCTTTAACCCTACCACTTAAATTTTTATTGAGTTTTTCATCTAGGAGCCTTAGCCAGTGGTCTAAATCTGATGAACTTGTGTATAGCATCAGAAGATGCATAGGGGACATCAGTGCACATGTTTGGTGTCTAAACTTGCAGATGAAATATAATTTTAACTTAGATATCTCATTGGCCAAACAAGTCGAAAGTATTATAAATCTGAAAATAGCTACATGAGGCTTTGATAGATTCTTGCAACCACCAGGTTAATGTATAAGGTTTTGTTTGGCTGTTGGAAATCATTGTCTAGTCATTAACTAGGAGCACTAGTTGCATAAATCCATATTGTGAATCAGTGGAGAAAGGTGTTTGCATCCATGGAAGTGAAGATAGAATGTTTAGGGAAAGATAGGCTTAGAGAAAGCCACAATTCCAGGGCTTATGATAACTCCTCTATTGTGGGATAGCATAGAATTTCCAATGCTGACTGCCGTAGAGATAATACTGGTATTTGTTGCTTACTTCATAAAAAAGGTTATTACATCACCGCTAGAGTAGGAATGGACACACTAAACATTGGATTTTGTGATATGAAGGTTCACTTTTTTTAATGGGGGTAAAGAAAATTCCTCTTAACTGGCAAAGTGTGGAAAATCTGGAGTGTGTGCAAAGTCTGTAGAGAACCACCGAGGCTTGAGGAGATACAGAAGGATAAATCAGTTAAATGCTCTATAAGAGAATCTATGCTCCTTGGATACATATGTTTATTCCAAAAGAGTACCAAACTCGAAAGACCATGCTTGAGCATATGTATTAGAAACGTCATAAGACCTGCTATTCATTTCCTTCCTCGACATAAAGGTCCCTCATTGTGTCCCCTGACGTTCCTGTCAAGCATCTTGCCTTTAAAAGCTCAATAACCCCCTCTGAACTATGTACTACCCAACTAACTACAAAAGGGAAGCAGTGTAGACCACATACTGTTTCTACAGTCACTGCAACAGCAGATGATTGACTGTCCCCTCTGCTTTGTCATACATACTGGAGCAGACAACCCAACGCTTCAAGCCTTTTTGACTTGACTAAGAGTCTTACTAAGCCTGAAAAGTAGCAAAACCTGCTGTTAGAGCAGATTTTGTATTTATGATTAGGAATGACTCAAATTCTGCCAGCTGCAGGGCTCCAAGAAATCTCCATGCATATTTTTTCTGGTAGTAGTTTGGAACTTTTCCTTTGATGTAAACTTGATACAACCTTATTAATTCCTCATGTATACATCTCATATCCTACTTTTCCAAAGAGTGAGCAGGTCTTGTGTTTGGCCAATTGTGGTGCATTTTCCGTCTTTTGTAAGTGATCTTATCTGGTTTATAGGAGTGATGCACTTGTTTGGAATTTCTTTTTTGTAAGATTGAATTTGTTAACATACAAATTGATAGAAATTTTTAATGTATGTGTTGGAGATTTTTCGTTTTATTTGGACAGATGACTTTGTTCGAAGAGTTTCTGAATTTGTTTTGATGCATGCATTTGTATTCTTCATTTCTTTATATACGACACTGATTGAAAGACTCTTTTTCCTAATTTTTGAATTTTATTTTGGTTTTCTGTGATGGTTGAGCTCTCATAAAAGCTCTTATGTCAAAAACGGCTGGATCAATTGTTGAAGCTGCATTGAAGAGGGATCCTCATGAGGTTGAGTTCATACAGTCTGTCCAAGAAGTGGTTCATGCTTTAGAAAGAGTAATTTCAAAAAACTCCAAGTGAGTTACTTCCATAATGAACTGTATAATCGGAATCTAATTGGTCAAAGCAAAAACATGATGACCATTGATTTTGTGCAAACATTAAGAAGTGGCTTTGCAATATTTCAGTTATGTCAATACAATGGAGCGCTTGTTAGAACCTGAGCGTATGATTCTTTTCCGGGTTCCATGGGTTGATGATAGGGGTGAAACACATGTCAATCGAGGATTTAGAGTTCACTTCAACCAGACATTGGGTCCATGTAGAGGTGGACTCCGTTTTCATCCGTCAATGAACTTGAGTATTGCCAAGTTTCTTGGTTTTGAACAGGTATTGTTACTACTTTTTTGTCTTTTTGGTGTTAATGTTTTATTGGCATTTTCCTCTTCTACCATTCAATGCTCAGATTTCATGTTAGACTTTGCCAGGCTCTTTTGTCCTTTTGTTGGAGTTGATTTTCTATTTGCTTGCTAGGTGTACATGGAATCATGTTTTTGGGGCCTCATGAATAGTTCTGCCAGCAAGGGTCAAACTTGTTCATAGTTTAGGCCCAGAATAAGATTCTGTTTTTGTATTGTCCCCTTAATTTGAAGCCAACATTCTCTGGAATGTGTTTTCCACACTTTACTAGGGGTTTCCTACTTTCCTTTCTGGTGGGTCATTGTTGGTGAAGTGATGATGAAGCAGATACGTCATATTGGCACACAGTACACTAAAAAATCCCTTCATTTTTTATTTTTTAGTTGATTTTGGCCGTCTGATGTATGAGGGCCTTGAAAGGTATTTGTGGAAAAGGGTAAAAAGCTGAAACTTCCATGTGAGCCCCGCTGACAATCTAGTGGTTCACGCTATAGGTGTCACATGGTTGGAGACTATTATTGATGGGTTGGCACAGACCCATAAATCAGTATTATTTAGTTGTAAAAATTAGAGTTCTACAACCAAGAGTGATTTGTATTTTGTCCATTTATAATGTTCTACAGAGTTTGTCTTTGATTCCTGCTTGCTTGGTTGTACGGGTTTTCCAGTCCCTTAATTGTAATTTTACTCTGGAAAGCTGTTGTCTTGTAGGATAATATATATCCTGTTGGAATAGGTCAAACTAGAGTGTTTCTATTTAATAGAAGTTAAGAGAAATTAAAGCAATATGCCAGAGTTGACATGAAATCATAAGCCATCAAATTAAGCTCTAACCCAGGCATGTCTTATCATTGTGTACCTGAACCCTCGATATATCTCTATCACTAAATTCTAGCTTGTTATATCCTCAAGTTTCCTGGTAAAATCAGCGGCAAAACGTTGACAAATTCAATCCCTAAATTGATATGAGACCCTGGTGTTGTTTCCTTGCAAAACCTAAAAACTATAGCTTTTGACTGCCATAGTCGATCATTAGCAGCCCAGTTGCTTTGCCTGAGGTTCTGTCCTACATCAACTACTTTTTATTGGGAAACCAGATCTACATAATTAGTGCCTTTTGACACATGATGTTATGGTGCTTCGGCTTGTGCAACTCAACTTAGCATAGCCTTGCCCTGAGAAAGCATGTATCCAAAAATACTACAGTTAATTTTTAGTGTGGCATGTTTACAAAAATACAAGATCTGATCGAATTTTAAGTTTCTTTGTTTGATATCTCATGTTTGTCCACAAATCATCAACTCTGCTATGCTTTCTATGATCTGCCCCTGTAGTTGTCGACTCTCTTATCATAGATAAAGTGCCTAATGTCTGGGGATGACAAGTGGGTGGGCTCTACCTACTCATTAGGAGCTCCAATGGGTTCAGTATTTTTTTTTCCTTATGAGGTCAAAGTCTGGAAAGAGGAATTCTTTTTTAGATTGAGAGAAGGGTAAATAACTGCTGATTTGTGGCTGTGTGCAATCCCTTGAATTTGGCACTGTATGTTGGAACCACAGGCCCTCATCACTTATGGAACTTTCAAACTATTCCTTTGAAATTGTGCCCTTCAGGAGAGCTTAGAGCTAGACATTCTCTTAATGGCCGTTCTTTTCCTTTTCTTTTACTGTTGTTTTGTTAAAAAAGATTAAGATAAAAGTACACTGGTACAGGATATGAATTCATTACAAATGCTATTGCTGTACATACTCATTGAATAGTCATGAAAAGCTTCATTCTTCTGAAATGTTGCAAACCAAATGAAGGGCATTATGACTGCTTGACAGTGTTCCTTATTTACTTCTATGCAGACCCTAAAGAATGCCTTGTCTCCATACAGACTAGGAGGGGCATCGGGTGGAAGTGATTTTGATCCCAAAGGGAAAAGTGATAACGAGGTATTACTGTCTCCATCATTACTCACTTTTGATGAAATTGTTTGAGCTTTTTGTCTTGACTTTATTGTTCTGTTTGTGAAACCTGTGTTTGCAGATCATGCAGTTTTGTCAGAGTTTTATGAACGAGTTTTATCGTTATTTAGGTCCTGACAAGGTATTCAGAAGAAGATTCGTGCGCTACCTGTTTATTCCAGTCTCTTAGTATTTTATATTTTCATTTGTCCAGTTATGCTACCTGGTTTATTCTTGTGAAATTTAGGATCTTCCTTCAGAGGAGATGGGTGTCGGTCCTCGTGAAATGGGCTATCTATATGGACAGTACCGACGTCTAGCTGGTCATTCTCAGGTGCAAGCTATATCCTTTGCTGAAATTGTAGAACTAACCCCCACCAGGGTTGGGGCCAATGCACACTATTACAGACCCATATCATCTTATGGATTTCTATTTGGCTTTCATTTCTTGGAAGTTGGATATCTAACGTGGGCATGAGTTGAAATTTGTTCATCAGCTCCTTTTATTCAAGTGTTTGCTAGTTGTTGGTCATTTGTTCAATGATGGGCTTATGTTCTCAAAGTAAATGAATATTTTTGACCAATTCTAATCTCTATTGCTCTCTTTCTCACTCCTATCTTATAACAAGTATGGAAAATATATATATATATAGAGAGAGAGAGATCTACTGTCAATTTGCCCCATCTCTCTACTAATGTTCTGCCGGGCATCATCAAGTGTTCCACATATTTTTTGGCATCCTGGATGTTGTGACTTTTATGACATGGTGATTGTCGAGTAATATGACCCTGCTGCATCTGGCATATGATTTTTTTCGGATGGTAATTTATGTGTGCACATACATGAAATAAGATTTTCCTGAATTCCCACCTATATTGTCTATTGTGGGAAGGCTTTGCGAATTCTTTACCTAAATTGTCAAATTGTATATGAATTTTCCACCTATATTGTTTATTATGAGCAAGCTGCTTAGAAGGTTTGCTGAATCACCACACAATCTGAGTTTCATGGCTTTCTAGTAATTCCCAGCAGATGTTAAAGGACAAGATGTCATTTGATTAGATTATCATCATGTGGGACACTTTATTTGATATCCAAGAATATTTTGTAACCATAGTCAGGCACGTTATCCACTGTTGCTTGTAAGTTGAATGTGTCAAACAAATTCTGTGAATGGAAGACCAATATGAATTTTGTGGTTTTTATTTTTTATTCTTTGTATGTAGTTTTTCTGGTCTGGCAGCAAGTGTTATCCTGCCACTGGCATGTGCTGTCGTCTGTGGATTTTTTTTCTTTTTAACTTTTTTGTCCGCTTGTGCTTGCAGTTCTTTGTGGTGTAAAATTTGACTTTTTCAGCTGTAGCTTATGTGTGCCAGAAGGAAAAACGTCTTGTAATTGCAGTGTTGTGTGAGGTTTGGTGTTGTGTTTCCTGGTCAGACACTTTGAATAGAAATTTTGCTTAATCTTTGGACAATGAGATGAGGCTGTCAGCTTTTCTATGTCATTTGGCACATTCATCTTTGAAGTCATGTACATTATTGTGAACTCTATTGGCATCGCTAGCCCGGGGTTCGGCACCCAGAAAAAAAAACTCTGTTTGGAAGTGTAATTTCTGTTGATATAAACAAGTTACTTATGATTTTATCCAACATTACATTAGCATGGAGTGAAAATTTGTGATATTTCCTTGTCGTTTCATATTCATGCCTTACTTATGCAGGGCAGTTTTACAGGGCCAAGAGTAAACTGGTCTGGTGCCAGCCTTCGAACTGAAGCTACCGGCTATGGATTGGTGACTAGTTTTTTTCTTTACTTTCTCTGTCTCCGTATGTTGTGCTTGCCCCATTTTTGTGTGTATGTACGCAGCTATTTGTGCACGGGCACTTGTGCATGTGTGTGCTTATAGATGTAGGCATAGNTGCCCCATTTTTGTGTGTATGTACGCAGCTATTTGTGCACGGGCACTTGTGCATGTGTGTGCTTATAGATGTAGGCATAGTTGTCAAATCGTGTATCAGAAGATGTATCGTTTTTTAAAAATAGTGTATTGTATCGTATCGTGTATCGGANAGTTGTCAAATCGTGTATCAGAAGATGTATCGTTTTTTAAAAATAGTGTATTGTATTGTATCGTGTATCGGAAGATTCNGCAGCTATTTGTGCACGGGCACTTGTGCATGTGTGTGCTTATAGATGTAGGCATAGTTGTCAAATCGTGTATCAGAAGATGTATCGTTTTTTAAAAATAGTGTATTGTATCGTATCGTGTATCGGAAGATACGCGCAATTTTAATTTTTAAATAATTATTAATAAAATATATGTATATACCTTTATAAAAAAGTCATAGACTCATAATAACATAACATTTCATTAATATTTCACAAACTATTCAAGTACCTAACATAGTTTAGTAATATCAAAATGTAAAGACCCCTAATTCAAACTTCTAACATCAATTACTTGAACAACCTTAATATTAATTATGAATTTTAAATTCAATTGAACAACATTAACAACATNCCTAACATAGTTTAGTAATATCAAAATGTAAAGACCCCTAATTCAAACTTCTAACATCAATTACTTGAACAACCTTAATATTAATTATGAATTTTGAATTCAATTGAACAATATTAACAACATATTTTATTTATTTATTTTTAAACTATAACCACCGAAACGATATTGTTTCACTAACTAGTGATTTAAAAATAAGTCATAGGGTAAAACGATATCATTTCAAACCCAAAAATTTTTTTAAAAAATTAAAAAACAGAATCGTTACGTATCGGACGTATCGTATCGTATCGTATAGTGTATCGTACGATATGGTGCAAAAATGATACAAANAAACGATATTGTTTCACTAACTAGTGATTTAAAAATAAGTCATAGGGTAAAACGATGTCATTTCAAACCCAAAATTTAAAAAAAAAAATTAAAAAACAGAATCGTCACGTATCGGGCGTATCGTATAGTGTATCGTACGATATGGTGCAAAAATGATACAAAGGCACGATACGTATCGTTTTTCAGGTGTATCGTGACGTATCGTACGATACTAATAAATATGGATGTTGGAGTTTGGGGCAGTGTGTGTTTTCATATTTTTCAGGGGCAGATTCTTGATATTCTTCTTCTGGATGCCTTTGTTTATACATGATGCTAAAGCTCATGATTCATGCCCATTGCGTGGCTGATAATTTAAAGGACTCCCCTTGTGTTTTGCAGGTTTTCTTTGCACAGCTTATACTTGCAGATATGAATAAAGAACTGAAGGGACTAAGGTTCCATACTTAACCTTGAAAGCTTGTTAAGGGTTCTTGTTTTTTTTTCCCTTTACCATTTACTGTGACAAAAGCACCAATGGAATGATTATTATGCATTTGTGTGAATCTGGGAAAACTTCATCCTTACACTTTGAAACATTTATATNATGAATAAAGAACTGAAGGGACTAAGGTTCCATACTTAACCTTGAAAGCTTGTTAAGGGTTCTTGTTTTTTTTTCCCTTTACCATTTACTGTAACAAAAGCACCAATGGAATGATTATTATGCATTTGTGTGAATCTGGGAAAACTTCATCCTTACACTTTGAAACATTTATATACTACTCTTTTGTGTGCTTGTGTGAGTGACTAGTGTGAACATGCATGTCGTGCCTAAATATTCAATACAACTGTGATGTCACATGACAACAAGAAATTATTAGTCAATAACAAGCCACTTTCTGCATATACAAAATCTTATCATTAGACGATAATTTTACGTTTTATTCATGAAGTGGTCTTGCACTACAGTTAATCTTTACTTCGTGATGTGGCTGTGGAATTTTTTTGGGTGGTTCATGTGGAATTTTTTTGGGTGGTTCGTTTATGATTACGAGAGTATGGGGATGAGATTGAGAGAAGATAGTAGTAGAACCCACTACGTAGTTATTTTTTGGGTCATGGGCCTCATTCTTTGTGGAAGGGCCTATCTTTTCCAACCGACCCAAGGTAGATCCCAATAGTTAGCGGTTCTGGATCATGGTCCTTAAACTTTGTAGAAAGGCCAATCTTTTCAGACCAACCCAACCCATTTACATCTTTTAGACCCAATTTTGGCCCAACTCTTAAGTTTGTAACAATTTGTGACGAAAGGCCTTGTGCGTTTTTTTAAATAGCATTTGTTTTGCTTCTTGTTTTCGTATTTTTCTTGTTCAAGTTTTCTCTCTTACTCCAACCAATCATATGCATCTTCCATGCTATAGCACAGATATTAATATATTTGTTCGTACATTAAGGTGTATAGAGATCACTAATCCATAATAATAATGAGTAATAAGGAGAATAAAATCCCACTGAAGTTAGCTACAAACAGTATAGCAAGATATGAGAGAAAAATGTCCCCACAATGATTGACAAAAAGGAAAAATCGTGTGAATTTACCACACTTGCTTCAAAATGAAACCTAAATATTGGTGATTAAAAAGTTAAAACTTAGCATGTAAGAACTTATCGCATACCTTCTCACATTTTTGCATCTGAAACAGTAGAGAGAAAAAGAGAAATAACCATTAGTAATAAACATAAAGCACAACTTAGAAGGCAGCTTGACAATCAGTTATAAGCAGGACAAGCACTATAGTATACTTTGGAAGATTCTCGGGTGATGGTACGCATCTTGCATCTCATCATTTAGGACGGTTTAGCCAAGGAAACGTGCATTGCAACTTTTCTCTTTTCTAATCAGTGAGGTAAGGAGAGGGACAGAGAATTGATGTGAGTAAATACATGTGATATTCTATAGATATGGAGGCAATGAGAGGACTTGGTGACTCATATAGTGGTTTCCATGGTTGATGGAAGTTGGTATAAGGATGGTTTTAGCGACTATAGATTGTGGATGTTGCAGGTTTTCCAACATGTTCTGGCTGCTTATTTTATTGAGAAGATAATATAAAGGGTCACAGCTGATGCATTATCAGTAGATGTGTGTTTAGGTTGAATTGTGAATAGAGTGTGGCCGAGGTGTAAATTTTGATTCAGGTAGTTAAAGCGCACTATAATTGTTACAATTACTTGACAAAAGGCTAGGAATCAAATACATTAGGAAAGAGATGAGTCAAATATATTAGAAGGTAAAATGCGTATTGAAGTAAGTATGCAAAAGCAAAGCCGCCTACTTCATTGACAGAGAGTTTATGCTGTGGAACTTGGTGTCTGTGTCAATGCAAACTAGAGTCAATGTCAGGAATCAGTATGGTAAGAGGGAAAGGATGTTTGGGAGCAATGTGCAATAGCCAGAAACCTCAGGAAGATCTGTGTACCTGCACATTTTGTTAAACTTATTAGCTGTTTGATAGTAAAGGTTTTTTTTTTTTTTTGGGGTGGAAGATGGTAGTTTTAACATTTTATTTTTTGCTATTTGTTTCTTTTCTTTTTCTTTTAATCCAGATGTGCAGTTAGTGGTTCTGGAAAGATTGCAATGCATGTCTTAGAGAAGCTTATTGCTTATGGTGCTCTTCCCATCACTGTGTCAGGTAAATTCCAGATATTTTAGTAACATGAAATGCTTTCAATCTTGGTTTCACCTCCTGATCTAATCTCTTCACTTCAACCCTTGGATCTCTATTATCGCTCAATATCTATGTATCTAGAGAAGTTTTACTGCCTACTTAAAACGTATCCTCATAACCAAGCATGGGTTGAAGTCGGGCTTTCTGAATGTTTATGATATATGACCTTTTATTTAAGTTAGAATGGGATTGTTTTCCTTTTGGTCATGGTTGTGACTAGTCTCTTCAACCATAATCTACTATAGTTTACCATTTCTTTTGGTTTCTAGGATAGAAAGTGTATCGCTTTAAGCATTCTGTCATTGTACAGAATATTATAAATGCAGTTTTGTTTGATATAATTTGATGTTCTGTATTGAGCTTGGTTTTTTTGGCTTTTATGTGACATCTCTGGGAGGCTTGAGGTAATAATTAACCACCTAGTATTCTGTTGGTTTAAGGGGTTATGTGTTACAGATTTGCATAGGCTACTTTCGTCTTCCAAGGATACTTTTTGTTATTATTTGCCGTGAGATGAATTCAAATGTCATAGCAATTCAATGGCGACACACACTGAGAGGTGGCCAAACTTTCAGACTTTCTCATACATTAATTTCTGATAGACTAACTGGAACATATTAACGACAATGGTTCATGCATTTTGAGGCAGATATGCCAAGGTCGAACTTGCACTTGTCTTTGCTAGTTTTGTCTTCTGGAAATTATTTGACAGCTGATTTTAATTTAAATCTGATTCTAATTGATCAGAAATTATGTGAACTATGGGTTTTATGATAGAAGCTAAAGTTTTTCTGTGTTAGTTGGTTGATGAGCTATTGCTAGTGCTGTTCTTTAAATAGTAGAGGGCAACCAGGTCTTTTGCACCTCTCCTCAAGCTGGGTGGACAAAAAGGGGCCCCCCCAAAATTTTGGAAATCCTCTTTAAGCCTCAGTCTTTGGATGCTCATAAATTTGTCCTTTAGGTTTTAAATATTTGTCTCCCATATAGTTCATATTCCCATTGATTTGGCCCCCGAAAAAAGTATCCAGGTCTGCCCATCGTAGAGTTTTTCACATCTTGTATCTGTTTATTTAACAGAAACATTTTTTGATATGTAGGGTTTATAAATGATGCACTGAAATTAACTCTCCACATTGAGTAGCTACTATATTATGAGCAGTGTGAATAAACATGTGCTTTTGCCCTATCATAATTATGCAGATTCAAAAGGTTNGATGTTGCAGGTTTTCCAACATGTTCTGGCTGCTTATTTTATTGAGAAGATAATATAAAGGGTCACAGCTGATGCATTATCAGTAGATGTGTGTTTAGGTTGAATTGTGAATAGAGTGTGGCCGAGGTGTAAATTTTGATTCAGGTAGTTAAAGCGCACTATAATTGTTACAATTACTTGACAAAAGGCTAGGAATCAAATACATTAGGAAAGAGATGAGTCAAACATATTAGAAGGTAAAATGCGTATTGAAGTAAGTATGCAAAAGCAAAGCCGCCTACTTCATTGACAGAGAGTTTATGCTGTGGAACTTGGTGTCTGTGTCAATGCAAACTAGAGTCAATGTCAGGAATCAGTATGGTAAGAGGGAAAGGATGTTTGGGAGCAATGTGCAATAGCCAGAAACCTCAGGAAGATCTGTGTACCTGCACATTTTGTTAAACTTATTAGCTGTTTGATAGTAAAGGTTTTTTTTTTTTTTTGGGGTGGAAGATGGTAGTTTTAACATTTTATTTTTTGCTATTTGTTTCTTTTCTTTTTCTTTTAATCCAGATGTGCAGTTAGTGGTTCTGGAAAGATTGCAATGCATGTCTTAGAGAAGCTTATTGCTTATGGTGCTCTTCCCATCACTGTGTCAGGTAAATTCCAGATATTTTAGTAACATGAAATGCTTTCAATCTTGGTTTCACCTCCTGATCTAATCTCTTCACTTCAACCCTTGGATCTCTATTATCGCTCAATATCTATGTATCTAGAGAAGTTTTACTGCCTACTTAAAACGTATCCTCATAACNGAATATTCCATTTTGCTGAATATAATCGGTTAAGGTGAACCATGCCTTTGTCAGTTTTCAATTATTTTCTCCTTTAAATGTGCTTTTCCTTGGGTTTCTTCTTTTTCTTTTTCTTCTTCTCTTTCTCTCTCTTTTTCTATTTTACACAAGTGGTCTCAAGTCTAAAGAAATTCTGAGTACAAGAAAATCAATATAGATTTAGTAATTCCGCTACAAAGTTCGATAGATGCGGTAAGACAATGAGTTNTATCGCTTTAAGCATTCTGTCATTGTACAGAATATTATAAATGCAGTTTTGTTTGATATAATTTGATGTTCTGTATTGAGCTTGGTTTTTTTGGCTTTTATGTGACATCTCTGGGAGGCTTGAGGTAATAATTAACCACCTAGTATTCTGTGGGTTTAAGGGGTTATGTGTTACAGATTTGCATAGGCTACTTTCGTCTTCCAAGGATACTTTTTGTTATTATTTGCCGTGAGATGAATTCAAATGTCATAGCAATTCAATGGCGACACACACTGAGAGGTGGCCAAACTTTCAGACTTTCTCATACATTAATTTCTGATAGACTAACTGGAACATATTAACGACAATGGTTCATGCATTTTGAGGCAGATATGCCAAGGTCGAACTTGCACTTGTCTTTGCTAGTTTTGTCTTCTGGAAATTATTTGACAGCTGATTTTAATTTAAATCTGATTCTAATTGATCAGAAATTATGTGAACTATGGGTTTTATGATAGAAGCTAAAGTTTTTCTGTGTTAGTTGGTTGATGAGCTATTGCTAGTGCTGTTCTTTAAATAGTAGAGGGCAACCAGGTCTTTTGCACCTCTCCTCAAGCTGGGTGGACAAAAAGGGGCCCCCCCAAAATTTTGGAAATCCTCTTTAAGCCTCAGTCTTTGGATGCTCATAAATTTGTCCTTTAGGTTTTAAATATTGGTCTCCCATATAGTTAATATTCCCATTGATTTGGCCCCCGAAAAAAGTATCCAGGTCTGCCCATCGTAGAGTTTTTCACATCTTGTAGCTGTTTATTCAACAGAAACATTTTTTGATATGTAGGGTTTATAAATGATGCACTGAAATTAACTCTCCACATTGAGTAGCTACTATATTATGAGCAGTCAGAATAAACATGTGCTTTTGCCCTATCATAATTATGCAGATTCAAAAGGTTATTTGATGGATGAGGATGGTTTTGATTACACGAAAATAACATTTCTGAGAGATATCAAAGCTCAACAGAGAAGTTTAAGGTTTGTGTTTGTAAACACCTCATTAAATAAAATTATACCCTTTAGTTTCTTCAGTGTCTTCATTTCATAAGTGGCATCTGCAGAGACTATTCAAAGACTTATGCTCGCTCTAAGTACTATGACGAAGCAAAGCCTTGGAATGAAAGATGTGATGTCGCATTTCCTTGTGCCTCACAGAATGAGATTGATCAATCTGATGCAATTAATTTGGTGAACTCAGGTTGTCGTATACTTGTAGAAGGTAGTGGTTCTCAAGATGTTGCCTAATTCCTTTGATTATGATTTCTTATTTATTTGCCTTCTTACTGCTCGTAATCACAATTCAATTTCTTTAGGTTCAAACATGCCCTGTACCCCTGAAGCAGTTGATGTTCTGAGGAAGGCTAATGTTGTAACTGCTCCTTCTATGGCGGCTGGTGTTGGTGGAGTATGGCTTATCATTTATATTCTTTGGACTATGCATGATAAAAACTTTCCAGCTAATGCGATCACAATGCAATAGCCAATGTTATTCTCTTTAATATGCTTTGGTCATCATTATTCTGTCATTTTTAATTCATGATGTGTTCAAGAAAAGCTTGTGTGACATAGATAAATGCAAGATCAAGAAATGAACTTCTGATGCTTTCAGATAGTATCGTGATTTGCTCTATGAATTGGCTATGATTTAGACCCATTAAACTTGTCAAAATTTGCCAATTCTACATGAATAAACTCATATGAAATCCCATCTAGGAGCCCACTATGAAGCCCAAGACCAAATATCAGAAATACCATTAACATATACTCGTGAAGACCAACTAAATTTCTAAAAGAATATTCCATTTTGCTGAATATAATCGGTTAAGGTGAACCATGCCTTTGTCAGTTTTCAATTATTTTCTCCTTTAAATGTGCTTTTCCTTGGGTTTCTTCTTTTTCTTTTTCTTCTTCTCTTTCTCTCTCTTTTTCTATTTTACACAAGTGGTCTCAAGTCTAAAGAAATTCTGAGTACAAGAAAATCAATATAGATTTAGTAATTCCGCTACAAAGTTCGATAGATGCGGTAAGACAATGAGTTCAAAATTAGAAACTGTATGCATTGAGAAAGGAATAATTTATGTTTATGATAACTGGACAGAGCACATGCGAGCCATGTGAAGGGAAGAAACATGGGGATGAAAATCTGGGAGGCCAAATAATTTTTTGGGCAAATTGCAGAAATACCCTTATTTGAAAGGTAAATTAAAATTGTGAATGAAGAGAAAAACTCCTTCACACATACTGTTGAGTAATAGATTTTGATACAAGAATGTTAGGANTCTTTAAGCCTCAGTCTTTGGATGCTCATAAATTTGTCCTTTAGGTTTTAAATATTGGTCTCCCATATAGTTAATATTCCCATTGATTTGGCCCCCGAAAAAAGTATCCAGGTCTGCCCATCGTAGAGTTTTTCACATCTTGTAGCTGTTTATTCANGACATAATTGAAATAAGCAGCAATTCCGTGGGAAGATATTTTTGTATAACCGAACAGCAAATATACAGATAGCGAAATGAATAATTTGCTTCTGTTTGTTTCACTGTCCTATTATTTAGCAAAATTGATTTTGATGTTGCTTTGCTTGCCATCCATTATCCGCTTAAGTTATATGCTAAATATTTATTGATTGCAGGTTGTTGCTGGGGAACTGGAACTAAAAGAATGCAATATGAACTGGTCCCCTGATGACTTCGAAGCTAAGCTACAGGTGAGAGTTTGTGTGTGTGTGTGTGATACAGTGCTGTTATATGCACGTCCCCAGTAACCCATTTACATACAGTTGAGGGGATCCTAAAGTGTTCTTGTTATTTTTCATACTGAAATATCTCTTAAATACACTTCAAGTGTCTTGGGGAGTAAATTAAGAATCTTCTTATGCAAACATTACAGTTTACAATTGTATGGATATTTTACTCATAAGCCAACCTCAATTCCTGGCACAGCTAATATGCAGTTTGATTATTTCTCTAATTAATTGCCTACTTCAAAAGGTTCATGCCTGATGTTATTGAAAAGAAAAACATTGAGGTTCTATTGTGGATTCTTAAAAATTGTGTATTTGTTGGGAGAAAAAGAAGGAGAGCGGGCACTTGATTTCCTAGCCAGCAACATTTGCCTGAAGGTATCAACTGTCAACTGCGCCTTTTTTGTTGCAACAACAATGATTAGCTTGAATGGGAAATAAAGAAATAAAGGAATAAAGGAGGAGGGAAGAAAAAGAACTGCATTTAGATCGTACTAATTCATCTTCAATTCTATTTATGATTCACTCTGCTGGTGTTTTTCTCTACAAATTCTCATGAAAGTCAGGTTGATGTTTTATTTCCACTCCAAATTGCTATTCTCAGTTTTGGGTCATGTTAAACTTATTATATGGATCTTTGTAAGTGAACATGTTATACCGGGTTGGATTGGAAGACTTCTGGGTTGTGGCGTGACAGCAAGTCGTCTTTTCGGGACAGATAAATTGACTACAGAGTGTCCAAGAAAATGCTTTCAGTAAATATTTTCAGCATAATTGTTTGGTTTGTATTTCAACTCATGCATCAACACAGAAATAATATAATGAGTAAATCCTTCCAAAAATAAATCCCAAGTTCAGAAAGTCCTTGACCTCCTTCATGACTTCTTTCACAATTTAGTTTTATGTTAGGACATACTTCCATGTCAAAGTATGGGTTTTTTCCTTTTTGATCACTTTGACCCATATTGCATCCTTTGGCCGCTACAACTCAAGTCACTCCTTATATGTTCTTGGTCTTATCTTCACATCCTTGGTCCCAAGCTTTGGGATATAGTGGTTATGGTTAGTACATGGTTGTGAGAAACTCTTAGTCATGTCTTGGAATACAACAATAACAATTGAAGACAGCATATGAAAGAACTAGGCCATGAAGATATTTAGGTGCCTGAAATAGTACGCTCTCTTCCCCATTTGATGAAGGGGGATGGCTGTTGGATTGATTGATCAGCGACCTCAAAACTGTTGTCTCCACTCCTAAAGTCAGGTAAATTACACGAGCGGAATTGAGTCCTCTTTTTTTTTTTTTTTCTACATGACAATAGGATATGTGAGCAGAACCTGGTTTTGTTGGATATACTGGCTGGTATTTTTTAGTTCAGAACATTTACAACCCTATAATAGCCTTTATATCTATTCTGTTAATTTGGAAAGAATATAGAAATTATCGATCACTTGAATCATGAAGTGAACATCAGTTAAACTTAACAATTTAAAATTGGCTTATCGAAAAAAAGCAATACTTATGATGATAATTTTGTATTTCTAATTGACCTTATTATTTTTTTTTTTGTCTTGCGAAAGCACCTGTTTCTAATGTTTTTGGGGCAGACATAATTATTGAATGTTACCAATGGCCCTTGGTGCAATGGTACTCCTTGCCTTGTAAAAGAACTGTCTTCTTGAGGTCTAGGGTTCAACTCCCCTCCCCCACCACCCCCCCCCAAAAAAAAAAATAAATAAATAAAAAAAAAAATTATTGAATGTTGTTTACAATAGAGGAAGTAGCTTATATCCTGTCTGTGATTCAAACTCACGAGGGCTTATGATTATGTTTTATTCACTTCTTTTTCTGGATAATATGTAATCAATTTCATTTTTCCACTGGCAGGAAGCAATGAAGCAGGCATATCAAAGAGCTCTCAAAGCAGCAACTGACTTTGGATATCAGAAAGAGAGCCCTGAGTAAGACGTTACATCAAATGAATATCATTATGTCAGTGAGAGTTTATGCCTTTGTTCAACTGTGGTATTATTGTGTATCTTGTGTGCTTTGGTGCCAATTGTGTTGAAGCCTTTAAAGGAAGGAGCTAACTCTCCAATCCATGTTAGAGTTCACATTGGTTCAAAAATTATAAGAGTGAAAAAAAACATTGGAAGATGCGGATTGTCTGGAGAAAGGATGAATTTTATGTGGTTTTTCTGTGTATGCAGGTCTAGTGAAACAAATTGTATGTGGTCATGATGATTATCTGGGTTGAGTTTCTCACATGAATCATCCATTCTACCTTCTTGATGAATACATAAATAAAAATTAAGCTAAAAGGGTATAGGAAGGTAAAAGAAAACAGTTGTCAGTGTTTGGGATTTCCTATTGAACATCGTGATAATGATCATGGGCATGGTTCAACATGGTATTGATACCATGTCATATTGTCTCACTCATGTGTGGCAAAAAGTAGTGAAGATAACTTCTCTGTCGCATCAGCCAGTTTTTGGTGTTTCCATTCTAATGCATATTTGTTTGTACTTGACCATAACTATGAATAAGCTACTGAAACAGCTTATTCTATTTTCCAGTTAATTCCATTTTCCAGAATCATCTTGCAGTATCATTGACCAAAAGTAAAGAAGAAGTTGAATAAATAAATTACTGTCATATAAATCAGCAAAGCATGGCTTTGTTTTTCTTGCGAAAATTTCGAGTAACTGTCTGCCACTTTTAATGAGTCTGAGAACTTCAAACATTGGAGATAAAGTAATGCAGTATACTATGTTGGCTCATTACTGAATATGTTAGTGGTGGGGATTTGGAGGCAGTTTGACGGAGGAAAACATATGCAGTAGTTGGGTCCAACCCAATTTTTTGCACATTTTTGTAGGTACATGGAGTCTATTGTATAGAATCCATGAAGTCAATGATGAAGCCAGTGTGTGTATTTCTGTTCCTGGTGAAGCGGAGTTCTGTGGAAGTTCTTTTGTGTGGGCCAGCCACGATGTTTTTATTCCCTTATATAGATTAGTAGCAAAATAAGTTGATGGGATAGCGCATAAGAAGTGCAATGGGCATTTCTCAGGGAAACTAGAGGCCTGGTTCACTTGTTCTTGTGCTTTTGCTTTATCTTTTGATTGTCTCCAGAAAGATATGGAAGTCGACATTATATTGTAATGAAACATCTGTTGTTTTTAATTTTCTTAACGGTGTTCCCATTGTTGCACAGGGCTTTGGTACATGGAGCAGTTATCTCTGCTTTTCTGACAATTGCTAATAGTATGTCTGATCAAGGATGTGTATAGAGTATGGATTGAGAAGCATATTAACTTGCTACCCGTGACTATTTGGCTCTCTGTGTGGCCTTCAAATGTGCTCGAATCATGCACCCATTGGCAGAATTATGAAGTGGCAATACCGGCTGATCGGTGAACCGTGCACCATGTAGATTTGAAGATCCCATAGATTGGTGGCTTTATGCATTAGGGAATGACAGGTCATCTCTTTGTACTATATATGTTATATGTTATAGCTCAGGGCTTGATTGGACTTGGTTTGTCCAGGTTTGATTGGGAATACACAGATGTACCATGAGGATATAGGTAGTCTTAGTGAAGTAGGGGCGTGAATATAATTGTGAAGGTATTCACATTCTTGGCCCACTTAAGATATATTGAATGTTTGTTATGGTGTTGTGAAAATACATGGACAAGTGACATTATAATAAAAGTTATTCTTTATTATTATTAAAATTAGTTTTAATTGGGATAAATTATATTCACACCTCTTGACATTTGACTAAATAACATGGAGATTCCCCTGACATTTCTAAAATGACACGATGACCCCTTATTGACGTCAATAGGTGACCGATGTTTTTTTAAACCCTTTAATGTAATTTAAAATAAATACATAATAATTTAAATATATTACCAAAAAATTAAATTAAAGAGTAAAAAAAAATATCTCTCTCCTCTCACATTTTACTCATCTCTTACCCCACCCAAAGACCACCACCCCTGTGCACCTCTCTCTCTCTCTAAAAACCTGCAACTCCTCTTTTGTCCCACTCTCATAGATCCCCCAGGACCTTTGCCCCTTCTCCATAGCACGCCACCGCACTTAGCTCAACTGCCACCACCACCATCATTCCAAACCCACCGTTCTCAGCCTCCTTTTTTCTCTCTCTCTCTCACAGGCCCTTGCCCCCCTCCCCACAACAAACCCCATATTTGAAGACTATTACTTCTCTCCCTTTCTCTAAATCTGTAAAACTCACATGAAATGGGTGAGTCGCTAAACCCTCGAATCGATTTCATTAAATCGAAGCACAAATTTATACTGTCATTAGCGGCGTTGGTGCACAGTTGGGTTTCTGTGATTTATTTCTCAGATCGAATTTATGTTTGATTTTTGTTTTTTTAGAATTTTTTGTGGTTCAAATTTTGGTGGTGGGTTTTGGATGATGGAGGTTGTGGTGTTGATGGTTGGTTTGTGTGGTGGAGGTGTTGGGTTTTGGACGGTGGCACTGATGGTATCGATGATGGCTTTTTGGATGGTAAAGGCGATGGTGTCATTCACAGTCACCATATACTCTCTTTCTCTCTTGAAGGCGGTGGTTAAGGAGTTTGATGATGTTAGTGGTTTTGGAAGCCTGTGGTGGTGGTGGTGGTGGGTGTTTTTGTTGTGATGGTGGTGGTAATTATTGATGCGTGTTATTGAGTTGGTGGCGATGTTATGGAGGAGAAGGGTCATGTATAGAGATAGTTGATGATGGGTTTAGTCTAAATAGTGGTTTCAGTGGTGTAGACACAGGTGGTTTCAATGGGGTTGTGGTCTCTCTCTCTCTCTGGTGGTGTTTGGATATGTTAGGTGGCAAATGCACTATTGCGGTGACTAGGTTTAGGCGGTGGTGGAACTGGTGGTGATGGGTGGCAAGAGAAAAAATTTGTGTAATTAGATAAATAATAAACAAAAATAAATTTAATATGGGATAATTGTATTAGGTAATTATCAAGGTTTTAAAAAATGATTACTTTTTAAATTGTACTAATGGTATCAAATATTATTTAATAAACAAAAAATTTTAATTTTTTATTTATTAATGCAATATATTTAGAAATTAAATATTTAAGTGTTAAATTTTAATCTATATATTTCATATATAAGATTAAAAAAATAAATGAGAGGTAATTTAGAGGGTATTTTTGGTATTTTGAGAATTATAATTAATGACATCAGCTTTGACTGTTAACAAGTCTAACGTTTGTTAGTTGAAGGGGATGTGGCTGTTATAAATTTTAAATGTCAAGGGAGTTTGGTATTATTTTTAAAATATGAGGAGATGTCCGTATAATAAAATCAAATATCAGGAGGTGTGAATATAATTTACCATTTTAATTGTAACAGCAAATTGGCCTTTTGAGTTCATGTGGAGCAGCTATTCAGATTTTCTGTATAATTTTGCATTCGCTTATTGATAACTTCAATTCAGCAAAAGTCATCATGCTGCCATGTTCCCATAATCATTTGCCCGCAAAGTCTTAATGCAATGCTTAGCCAGGTAATGCTGGTATGGTCGGAACTAGATTTTTATTAAAACCGTAGTTTCAATTCACATTTTTATTGTAAAAGATTAGTAATAATTCGAGTTTGACTCAGAATCTTGCACAATGGGGATGGAGAACTCAATTCTAGGGGATTATTGAAGGTCCAAACCTCCCTCTGACAGTTATGAAGTAGGTTCTCGAAGATCAAGGAGAAGTAATAATGGATACACTCGAAGTAGGAATAAGAGTAGATGATATAAAGTATTAGTCTGTTTTGTTTTGTTTTCTTTTTTGTATCTCAGCTTTAAGTGTCAAAAAAAAAAAACTCGAATTTGAAAGTGTGGTGCAATATTATTTATTTTTTAATAAGAAATGACAAGAACTTTTATTACAATAACTAAACAATATCAATTTGAAGGGGGGAAAGGCAAAAAATTTGCATGCAATATAAAATCGGGTGGAGTTATTCTCATCCCATAAATTTTTGTTCCACATCCATTAAATTATAAATAATAAAACTATTAATTTAACGTCTTTTATACCCATACCACTAGTAACTATATTCATCACATTTTATGTCCGCCCTGTTAATAACAAAACTTATTTCAATTTCACCATTAGGGTTTTTTTCTATACTTATTTCACACAATTTATACACAAACTATACTTAACTGGATTCCAATCTGGGTCATGCAAATTGTTTCAATTGTCGTCTTCTGAGCTCTATCTTTTCTGATCTCATCATCGAAATAGTACTTGAATTCCTCTCTACGCTTCTCTTTCTTGCTTTCTTATCATCGGTTGAAAGAATTCACAAAGAAAAAGATCTTCTTCACACGCAAATTCTCAATATACAGAAAGAAATCTCTTAGAATCTTCATTGTAGGTTGCATCTGAAGCTAAATTTCTTAAAAAAGAAAAAAACAAGATTANTCTTCATCGTAGGTCGCATCTGAAGCTAAATTTCTTAAAAAGGGAAAAAACAAGATTATCAAGTTTCTCTTCTCCAATCACACAGTCTATATATAATTGTTGTTCAATTTTAGTAGATAATCCAGTTGAATATATTTTGTATAGATCATGTGAGATGGAGTATAGAAAGAAACCCTGAAAAAAATTGAGATAAGTTTAGTTATTAATGAGGTAGGTATACAATAGAGTGAACTTTATTATTATTGGGGTGAGTATAAATGGGGTAAATATAGTAGTTTTATGATTAATAATTTATTGAGGTGAGAATGGAAATTTGTGGGTGAGAATAGTCTCACCCTGTAAAATTTGAACACAAAAAAAATTGATTTCATTGTATGAATATAAATTTCCATTGCAAAAAAAAATATAGGGATAAAATTTAAAATGCTAGCTATCTTATTAGATAGATGTGGGCTAAAATAACATTTTTAAAAAATCAGGATACTTTGATAAATAAGTTTGATGAAATTGCAGTGATTAAAAAAAAATCTAAAATGCCATAATCCGAAAATTAGCTCAACAATCTCTTCCAGCTGAGTAGGTCTAGTATTCACTGGACTGGTTTGGAATTTAAATCCAATCCAGTCCAGTCCAGTCCAGTCCATCACTGATTTGCCAAACACATCCAATATGTTCACAAGTTGCCACCGCGCATGGAAGTTAAGGTGAGAGGTTGGCAAATCATCGTTTATTAAACTCAATCACAGCCGTTTATCAAAATCGCCTGTCAAAATTCTGTATCTTCGCCGGTGGAATAGTATTGCTATGGTTTTACAATTAAAAATGGGGCCACTTGCATGGATGTGGGCCAGGTGTACACATATTAAAACTGTATTATTTGTCGTGCCTAATCAAAACTCTAAACCTTTTTTAAGTTCTCTTTTCTTAGTACTTAAAAAATAAAATAATAATAAACAACAAAATCCCTCCCCTCCTCCTTTTTCTTCTAANTTTAAGTTCTCTTTTCTTAGTACTTAAAAAATAAAATAATAATAAACAACAAAATCCCACCCCTCCCCTTTCCTCTCTTTTCTTTTTTCTCANAAAACTGTATTATTTGTCGTGCCTAATCAAAACTCTAAACCTTTTTTAAGTTCTCTTTTCTTAGTACTTAAAAAATAAAATAATAATAAACAACAAAATCCCTCCCCTCCTCCTTTTTCTTCTAAGAAAATTCGAACGGCTCGTTCTCTCTCTTGGGAAAACGATACCAAAAGGTACGACTACGACCGATCCATTCTAAACAGAAACACTCTCGACTTCATTCGTCATCGTCATCAACACCTCTACCTCTCTGCTTGTAATCTCTGTGTGAAAACACACGCATGGTTTGAAGCTAAAATCTTTAAAAATCTTGAAAATTGTAAATAAAAGCAATGTAAATATGTCTGAAAAATAAGGAACGAAACATACCTTTTCTTTTTTTCCTCTACCGGATCTGTCTCTCTCCTCCATAAAACCTCCAATCTAGGTTTTTCTATGTCCACTCTTTCTATGTATTTTTTGATCTGATTTTCTCATGTTTTGGTTGAATTATTTGCTATATGTATTCTGATATATCTTGGTTTCTTGTTGCGTGCAGGATTGATTTTTTATTTTTTGGGGGTTTTTGTGCATTATTCGTCTTGTTTTAGAGGAAAAGAGTATGTAGAGGAGGGCTTGTG